TAAATTCCTTGTTCAACACAGCTTACTGCTTCTGCATCAGCAGCACTGACAAGAATGAAAACAACCATTTGCACTCACAGGGTCCTTGCAGAGTCTGGTTACATTTTAGAGATGAGGGGTCTGAGACTCAGGAGGGCTGAGTGATGGGCCAGTGACAGTCCATGACATGTCAGAGCTTGCTCCTGTCCCTGGCCTTCTCCCCTGCTTCTCACTACAGTGGTCTGAACGCTGAGTGTGGCTCAGAAATGGTACCCCAGCTTGAAGAGGGTATCACTGAATTTCTCAACATGGCAGGCCCTGCCTGAGAGTTCATGAGGCGCTGAATCAGCCACTGGCATCCTGAAGTCAATGCTGAGGATGCAATATCCTCTCTCATGTCTCTACAGTCTCACACTTCCAAGTCTAACTGAAGAATCACCTTGACTGGGCCCTACACCTGACTCTGCCTTCTGAATCCAACCAACTCCTTCCTCTGCACTAATCAGACATTGCTTAGGACTACTCCACGGTTTTGCTGTTGCTTGATGATTTGTTTGCTAGCTTATTCCCGTGTCCTACTGAGACAGGACCAGAGAGAGGGCATGGAGAGTAGGCTCCACACAGAAAGAGACATTTTCTCTTTCACCAATGTATCTGAGGCAGGGTGGCAGTGCCCAGCACACAGCAGGTGCCCAATAGGCTGCAGGTTAAATGAATTCTTCTGTACAATGGTAGCCCCTAAACCCACATACAGATGGCACGTGGATGGCAAGGCATTGGGGGAGGTGGGGACAAAGGAACTCTACATAGCAAACACCTTGCTTTTACTTAAGACCGTAAATTTACTATAAATGTGGGTGTTGGTCAGGATTTGTGGGCAGTTCAAGTGTTCTCCAGCACCTCCATGCCCACCCTCCATTGTCTTGGATTGGTAACTCATTCCCACCCACTCCTTCCCCAGCCTCCACCAGGGCCTTAATTCACTGTGGACAGAACAAGTGACCTAGGGCACAAGAAATGAATGAATAGATAGTAATACATAAAGCCCCTCCTAAGGTCTGTCTGCTTTGATCAACTGATGTCAGGACCCAGAATCAGTGTTCAAGTTAAAACCAAGAACAAAGTTTGGGGGCCACAGTGGGAGGCAGGGCAAGTGAGGATGTGGGAGCCAGGGCTGAAGCTCGAGTGCAGCACAGGCAGCCCGAAAACTAGCCCGGAAAGATTAGGCCACCCTGATGGGTGCTTTCCATGGGAAAGAGAGTTCAAGTACCCAGCAGATGAACTATGAGGTTGGAACTGTCCATTAGCCCCTTCATCAGGGGGCTTGTGCTTGTTTGGAATAAGCAGGCCCATGTGGCTGAGTCCATGTGCATGAGGACAATGGAAACATGGATGCCAGAAAGTATGGTACCCACAGGCTGGGGTGGTCCAGGTCCCGAGTTCCAGTGGTGCTGACTCTGCCAGGCGGAGGCTGTGGGCAAGCTTCGCCCCACTGTGTCTCAGCTGCAATGCAGGAAGGTCTTTCACCCCTGAAATCTGTGACTTATGCGCCAGTCACAAAAAGAGCTTCAGTGTAAAAGTAAAGGAATTATCCACTATGGAAAGGCGTTAGTTACTACGTACATGAACTGAAGTTGTTTAAAATATGTATGTGTATGTATTTATTGGTAATTTACTAGTAAACTTTTACTAGTATATATTTACTAGTATATTTTTACTTGAGCATAGTTGTTTCCCAATAATTACTAAAAAAAATTTTTTAATCACAATTATGTAAGGGGGTTATTAATAAATACAATGTCTGCTGATTAAAAAATTTTAAAAGCACCCTGCTTCTTAATCCTGCTGCTACATCGCAATATTTGGAATTATGCTCAGAGTTTCTTGTGTAAGTAGAGGTAGATTATGCTGCAGAAACGAACATGTTCTTTTCTGTTAGGTCTGACAAAAGACCTGTTGATTTTTTTGTTGTTGTTACAGAAAAAAATCCTCTTCTAGTTGGGTGCAGTGGCTTACACCTGTAATCCCAACGCTTTGGGAGGCCGAGGCAGGAGGATCGCTTGAGTCCAGGAGCTTGAGACCAGTCTGGGCAACATGGTAAGATCTTATCTCTACTAAAAATTTTAAAGATTAGCTAGGTGTGGTGGCACGCATCTGTAGTCCTAGCTACTTGGGAGGCTGAGGTGGGTGGATGCCTTGAGCCTGGGAGGTCAAGGCTGCAGTCAGTCCTGTTGTGCCAATGCATTCCAGCCTGGGCAACAAAGCAAAATCCTGTCTCAAAACCAAACAAATGAAAACAAAAAAAAATCCCTCTTCTACACCTTGGTTTCCTCATCTATAAAATTTAGAGGAATTGTGGATTTGAATCTGTTCATGCCTGGGATGTAAAAGGTGAGGTCCTAAGATCCCACACACTCGTTTTGTGTCTCTATCCAGGGCCAACAGAACAGCCAAATCTGCTGAGCATCCCATGCAGTGGTCCTTTCTGCAACACAGGAAGCTTTCCCAAGCAGCAAAGAGACCCAGGCGTGAACAGACACCGTTTCCTAGCACCAACTGGCTGCCACCTAGCATTTCCCCAAGATGTTGAAAAGAGTGGAGGGGCCACATACAACCACAAGGATGTCCAATGGAGATGGTCCGAGTGCCCTCTTCCTGGGTAATCTAAGTTAAAACGCCTTCCTACTGGCTCTGCAGAAATGCCGTAATCATCACATTCATGACGTGAAGTAATAACTTCCCCGTTCTACAGAGGAGCCAATGGAAGCTCATAGAAGCCAGTAAGTGGTTTGCCCAAAAGAAAACTCTAACTCTCCGAAGTTCTTCACAACGATTCCGTTTTACTGTCAGCAATTGGGGTCCTTGGTCAGTGGCCCCAGCACTTCTCTGCATGCCAGGTGCCATGCTGGCAACCTTGGGTCCATTCACTTCTGGGAGCTGCAGTTACCCTCTGGGAGGCAGGTTCAGAAAAGCTCCTTTCACAGCAAAGTTTCTCCAAATACAGAACTTATCTTGCCTGTCTGCCAGTGTGGGTCATGGAAAAACTTACAGCTGTACAGAATGGGGATTAAATCCCCATTCTGGCCCAAAGTTTGAGATTTCAGCTCTTAAGGATCGATCAGTGATATCATCTACAAAATGGGGATGAGCACTAGGGTACCATCGTGAGGGGCACCTTACCCTAGACCTTGGAGAATAAAGCTAATATGGACACTTCAAAGACAAGTGTGGAGAAGCCAAATTAAAGAAACAGAATGAGTCTTCAGCCAGGAAGATTCAAGGATTGCTTGACTGGGTATCTCTGGCATGTATTAAAGTTGTAGTTAATTGTGTGCTTGATTTTAATGTATTCCCCCTGCTAAGCTGTAAGCTGAGGAGCACAGGAACCCAATCCATCCTTCTCTGCTTTTGTCCCGGGCCCCTGGTCACATGACAAGCGCTCAGTAAATTAATGAATGAGATGGAGCTAAGGAAAGAATGCGTCAATCAGAGAGGTCAGCCAGGGAAGCCCAGAGAATGAGGCTGATGGCACGGTACCATCCAAGCTCTGGCTGGGAGAGGACCTGCTGGCAAAGAGCCTGCCGACGATACAGACACCCTGGAGGTGTGTGCCCTGGTTGGTCACACTCACACATTCTGGGCCCTTGGGCTACTATTTGCAATAAGACGAATGAACTGGCCTCTGGGGTCACACACCAGGTCTGTGAGTTGGTATGAGCTAATTTCGCCAAGGAATGAGCCTGCTCTTCCAACATAGCCAGACCTGGAGGCACAGCAGGCAGGTCAGGTGAAGAGAGCTGCCCCATGACATCTCTCCGGGCAGCCCACTGGCCACTCCCAGATGGTCCTTAAACTTCCAAGCTGCAGGATTTACTGCTACTTTTTCTACAACACCTACTTTGCAAGGTTTGGCTTTAAGGATGTAAATAACGAAAAGGACCAGCTCCAAATGTGCACTTAACAAACAGTGCTACAATTATTGCTCCTTAAGGCACACATCTCATCAATAACTGAGTCAGGATTCCATGAATAAAGATGTGCTATTTTCTGTCCCATGGAGCTGACAATGTAGAGTACAGATAAGGACCACGGTGAATCAAACAGGCTGCAAGTCTAGCAGATCTCCAGGGGAAGAGGGGGGTCATGGTGAGCATGAGTGCCTGGGGTAGAGCTCACGGAGATGGTGGGAGGTGAACACATGGTGAATTAGCACCAGGGGCCATATGGCCCTCCTCGGGACAGTGGTCACATGTCTGTGGTGTGACTGGCACAACAACCAGAGGCCACAGCCAACATCCCATGATGCTTGACATCTTACACAGTGAACTGTCATGCCCTCGATATGGCGGTAGCTTGATGATGGACACTGTATACGTGAAAAGGCAGAGGGAGCACGGGGTCTAGATGCGGAGGAGGAAGGAACATGGGGTTCAAGGATGGCGATGAGAAGCGGAGGCTTTGCAAGGATGGGCCCTCAGGTACTTACTTTTTTTCAGAGTAAAAGGAGGGGCTTGTTGATCTAGAGAAGGAAGCATTCCTCTGGCCTGTAGCTAGTTACCTAATCTCTGGTCCTGGGACACTTTTGCACTGATGTTTCTCTGTGGTGGCAGCTCTGGCTTGCTGGTCAGTTTCCAATCCCAAGCCCAAGATGCAAGGGGGTGGGATGGGCACAGCGTTTGTTCCGATGCCTTTCTTGACCTACCTTTTTTCCAAAGGTTGGCATGGCCCTGTGGAACAGGGTGGGCCCCGTAATATTTTTGCTTTACAGTACTGAATAAGGTAACAAAATGTAGATTTAGAAAGAATGGGCAATAGGATGGGAACACACATGCACTCACACGAGGAAGCTTTCTGGCTGAAAAGAAAGTGGAACATCTTTTTATCTTTGCAATGTACTAATACTGAATTTGCAGTGTCAAAGCAAAGCAACTTTTTGAAAATGGAAAGGATGGCCACATTATGCACACTGGTATGAGAACTTTTCACCCAGAGAACTACAAAGCATGCATGCATATACATACCCGGCTTGGGTACTGTCGCGATACGGCAGCACTGAAAATATACTACAGAAGGATCTTCTGCCACTGATAAGGACTATTCTAAAAAATAAAAATAAGAACAAACAACAAACACGCTAAATGCAAAGGCTCAAACTTAAAAAAAAAAAATCTATAGCAATTAAGCATTCATGGCATTCATAGCAGTATTTACACGTTCCCACCACCTCCTCTGGCAGATGGTATTCTGCTCTCCTTGCAAAATGCAACCTCAGCGCAACAGAAGAGGGCTGCCTCTCCTCATCTGAATATTAACAAGTGAGACACCAGCAAGGGTCACTAATGAGCACACCTGCACCCCTTCTCCAGCAAGACCTGCTTGCTGTGGGCTGCACATGCAAGAGGGAGCAGACAGAGCAGAGCCCAGGGTGCCCAGGGCTGAGGGAGCAGTCAGGCCACATTTAAACCATTGATTTCTATTTTGCAGTAAACAATGCAAGAGCAACAGCGCCAGAAACCATGAGCAGGAGAGACACTCAGATGCCATTACGATCATTAGGTTTTTCATCTGCTGGCAACACGTTAGGTTCTGAGAATAGATTAAGGGAACAATTATATAATCAGTCTTAGCCTCCATTCCTGCTATAAAGATACGACTGGAAACTGTTCTATAAGATGGTCTTATGCAATCAAAAACCACTTAAAAAATTTAAAACAAAAACAAAAACCCTCAAAAGCACTTATCCTGGCATTTGAGAATAACTTTTGCCAACGGGAACTGCTGATGATAAACTGGAGAAATGAGTGGATGAGATTTAAAAAGAAACAATATTCCGTGTACCACAAAGTCAATACACATCATATGCGGAAGCTTATTTACTTTTGTCATCCTTTCCTTCGACGACCATAAGAAGACCAGGGAAACAGTACAACTATATGCATCAAGGTTTGGGGATTTCAACTTGGTTGTAAAACTATGAAATTCAATCATCCTGGGATGTAGTCTGGCTCCCTGGCATGGCAAACCAGCCCCGTGTTTCCTGGTTTCTGTCTCTCCAATTTCAACATCCACAAAATTTCCCCCTGCATTTTATCATTCTACCCATGCCCTCACACCTATGGTACCCTCACCTTAACAACAAATCCTGCTGTTTTATACTCATGTTCTTTGCATGCTATTTCTTCTGCCTGAATGCCCCACCTTGAAATACCCAGTGAACTCCTATTCTTCAAAACCTCACTTAGAGGTACCCCCTCCAGGGAGTGTTTCCTGCCCCTCTTCGCATAATTACTTGTTCCCTTTTTGGTGCTGTCTCCAATTCCCCATTCACATCTCCAGGAGGGCACTGTTGTGATCTGTGCTGCTAATCATTTGCCTTCTTCCTTTTCTAGAAGGTGAGAGGTTTAGTGTGGGGTGGCCCCTCCCATCTATGTGTATTAGATGTCGCTGAAATGCACTGTGAGCCTCAGAGCACAAGCACTTGAGTATCCATCATGGAAGGACAGGGCTGCAGGTGTCCTTGGCAATCAAAAGCCACTTCTGGTGTCAATTCCTAGCAGTTCATATCCACAGTGGTTAATGGAATGAGACCAAAGCAACACCCCAGCTTCGAACACCAGCTGTCACTTTTGTTTGGCCTTAGTCAGCTTACTAACTCTTGTGAGCCTCAGTCTGCCCTTCTAAAAAATGGGATAAAATGAGTAACGATCTTATTGGAATGTTGTAAAGAACCCTCAGAACAGCAACTGGCACATGGTACACACTCAATAAATATGAACCATCTTTGCTGCAGACCAGCTTCTTGTGCTAGGATTCAGGTTTTCCAGCCTAGTCCATGGACTCAGAACCTCTTCAGACCTCTGTGCTCATTACCCAGGCCTGCTGAGACCTGAAAGGCCATGGTGCCAGGACAGCTGAAGGACCCCATGCACAGCTGTCTGCATTGGTGTGCCATGAGATGTACACAGAGATGCTGCTGACGGGAGATGCTGCTCATCAGATACCACAGGCCCTCACCCTGGTCACTGTGAAGGACAGGGCGTCATGTCCAGAGTGGATTGTCAAAGGCTGAAGGGCCAGGGGTTACAGGAATCATGAGCACACCCTGCTGAACACCAGCCAGGCTCCTTAGGCGTGCCTGCACGGATCCCAGCAACAGAGCTTCTCATGCTGCAATGCCCATGTAATTTACCTATGCAGACATAATAGCCAATACTTACTAAGTATTATTACGTGCCAAATTCTAAATGCTTTAACTGATGAGGCATGTCAAGTCAGTGATGTACCAAAGGAGATGCACCAGCAGGTGGGGCAGGGCGGAGATTGGAACTTGAGCTCTTTACCACTATGAATGCTTTTCCCCAAACCTTACTAGAAAAGCCTGCTCCTAGGGGCGTGACTGGGTATCCTTGGACTTCTTGGATAAGTCTGTCTTCATCCAGGTGTTCTAGGCTGGCTTTCCAGCCTGGCCTGTGGGTCACCATGCCCAGTGAGGGAGGGGCCAGAGGGTGACAGATCACACATCCCTGACCTTGGAGCTCAGCCTGGCCCCTTCCCAGATGGAAGGGCAGAGGCTCTCCACACCCTCACTGCCACTCCATGTCATCTACCCAGGACAAAGTCCTAGAGTGACTCATTCCGTGTCACTGGGCATCGATGTCCTCTGCCACACGGTGGCAGGACGCGGTGGCAGGAATGTTTGAACAAACTCCATTGGCTTGGCGATACTGCATTTTCTTCACTACTCATTGCTAATGTGTCCTTCCTTCCCACAAACTAAATTTGTTTGGACATTCTTAATAGAGCAAGATAATGAGAGAAGATAAATGCAAGTGCAATCCAAGTCTTCTTTCCAACTTTTTTTTTTTTTTGAGACAGAGTCACCCAGGTACAGCGGCACAATCTCGGCTCACTGCAACCTCCACCCCCCTGGTTTCAACCATTCTCCTGCCTCAGCCTCCCGAGTAGCTGAGACTATAGGCACATGCCACCACGCCCGGCTAATTTTTGTATTTTTTAGTAGAGACAGCGTTTCACCATATTGGCCAGGCTGCTCTGGAACTCCTGACCTTGTGATCCGCCTGCCTCCGCCTCCCAAAGTGCTGGGATTACAGGCGTGAGCCACCGCACCCAGCTCCTTCCAACCTTTCAACTACAAGGTGCCTATCAGCAAATGCGCTGCTCGTACTATTAAATGGGCATTCACTCTGGGTGGTTCACACCATTAGCTCTAGGAGAGGCTGACAACATGGTGCTCATTCAGAAAAACATGATTTTTTTACTGCATAGCTCAAGTTTAGCAACTATGAATGTGGACTGTTTCTCAACAATTCCAGTAGGGTAGCTACTTCCCTGGCTGGTCAGTCTCAAGCAGCTGCGGGGGGGTGGGGGGGTGGGGAAGGGAGTAAGGAGTGTCACATCTTTGGGCCTTCCCCTCCCTTCTCCAGTCATTTCATGGACCCTCACTTTCTGCAGGGGCCAGAGGAGGAATTCACAGCAGAGACCCATGCAGAGGCTGTGCAGCCGGTTTGCCAATGGAGCTTCCAAGAACACCTCATACGTATTTCTTGAAGTAGTTCTGGCATCTAGGAGGGACTGCAGGCCTGAGCCACAACAGGCAGGTATCAGCAAGTGATGACTCCAGTCTTCTCGGCTTCTTTCACTGGGAAACCTTGAACAGCACGGTTCTGACAACAGGTCCCGTGTGATCAGCCGTTCTGTTTAAAACCTGCGGGGTTCATGTGAATTTGCAGCTTTTCTCTTTATAAACATTAGGGAAATGTCCACGGTAATGGAGATATACAAGAAAAGAATCAGATGTTTGGCTCCTTGCAGGTACCTCTGTTATTTGAGAGAGAATTCAATCAATGACATAAACAAGCACGGTTCACTTGCAGTGGGCTTCAGACCTTGACCACCCTCATGTCTTTGCCTCCAGCCACTGCAGCTCTCTTCTCTTATGCCCAAATGCCATGCAAAAAGCCCCTACCATTTTCCCATCTGTGACATGCAACACTTTACTTAGAGTTGAGACGGCCAGAAAATATTACATGAACCATTATGACTTCAAAAGAGGAACGAATTCCAGGGAGATGGTTCTTTAAGGAATTAAAGGTCATATTTCCACAGGAACATCTGCCAGAGGGGAAAAAAAAAAAACAGCAAAGGAAAACATTCCCTGGGGCTGCAGCCCACATGGGCAAAGCATCTTGGATACACAACGCTTCCTGAAACTTCCAGGGATCCTCAAGAGTGCTCGGAAGCTGAAGGAGCACCATCCAGCTTTCTTCTTCACACAGCCTCATTGCCAGGCTCTTAGGAAAGCGCCTCTCATCTTGCAGCTTCAGACCACAAAGCTTCCACAGACACAACTAGCTCACATGACCCTGCGTGTCCAGAACAGCCGGGAGATGCACAAGGACACCCTCCCCCCAGGCGACAGAGCACCACAGGCCACTTTTCACCAAGTCCACTTTCACCCCCTCAGCCTGGCACTGGTGATGTCTAAAAAGGCAATGTTTCTCACCCGCCAGGACCTTCAAGTATTTCCTCTTTTGCCAAAAAACCAGAGCGTTGTTCCATTTCCAGCCCGCTGGGGAGCCTCTATTGGTTGTGAGGTCTCATTTCTTCCAGGTGAAATGTTCCATTACACAGGAATATTCTCTTAAGGATATAAAAACAAGCAACCAACTCCAAGAGGAGTTGAAAATCACAGAGGAAAGAAAATCACATCTGTAGTAATGGAGGATGGGGGTGAGCATGGTGATGCCCAAACACAGCCCAGCGGTGTCTGCAGCCCAGGGGTCTGCATTAGGCACCAGGCACACATGCAGAAATTCTGTGGTTCTTTCCCTCCACGCCCAGGAAGCAAGATGGAATACGCCTAAAAAGCTGATGTTGTAGGTTTAACTGTGCTCCCCAAATGACATGTTGAAACCCTAAGACCCAGTACCTGTGATTGTGGCCTTATTTGTAAATATAGTAGTCCCCCTTTATCCACAAGGGATGTGTTCCAAAACCCCCGGGGGATGTCTGAAACCCCGGACAGCACTGAAGCCTGTATTTACTGTGCTTTTTCCTTCGCAATCACATCATATAGGGC